ATTTTTTATTTCATTATGTAGGAACCCCAATCGAAAAAGGATAATCTAGGCTAAGGATGCTGGATCCCTAATCGTGTCACGCAGCCAGCGGCTATTTCCGGATTAGATGAAACAAAAGGGAACATCGAGGACCGAGTCGACCACCAATGGCTCCCAGCCTGATTACATTTGGCCCAGTTTGGGTGGATGAACAGAGCATGGCAGGTGCATGGCATAGCGTATGGGCGTATTATTGTTTGTGTTTCGGCTGGGCAATTAACAAGCAATAAAAGCATGCAGTCAGTTGCCAAGTTGACAAATGTTAACAGGCCAACGCAGAACGGAAGGGAAGGGGCAGAGGGTACGAAATCGGAAGTGCAATTAACACAAAGATTTCGCAACGCCCTATTGAATAAAATGTTCCTGGCGAATTGCCGATTGATTCGGTGGCACGTCTTTGGCCTGAACTTTTGCCAAACGAGAAGCTGCACTTTGAATGCCAAATGCGGTGCAGACTGACACCTGCGTTCCGCTGCCCGAGTTGCTTTTCGCTTTTTATGAATGAAAAACTTGAGTCACTGGCCGGAATAGCGTGGGTGGTCCTTCGCCCCCGGCAAAAGGCCAAAATGCAAATGCACAAAAAGACCAAAACTGCAGTGGGTAACGACAACAACAACAGCAGCGGCAAAAGTGTTACACGACTTTACGAGCACATTCATTGACTGCAAATCAAAACGTGCGCCACGCCAACGCCAACGATATCGTTCACATCCACTTTTATGCACAGTGAAAAAAAAATTACAAAATACATAATTCTAGGATTATATAAAAAAGTAAGTTTACAAATCACCATTAATGATTATTGTATTGTTATCTTTTGTAAAAATTAAATTTTCTTTTTTGAACTATGTTTAATATCTTATTTTTCTACCCTGTGCATTTTTCTTCAAGTTCGAAATCAACAGCAAGTTGAACGCCAACGCCGATAGCAATTACCAGATGACTGCTAACTGGCAAGGTTATGGCTCTCACAGAAACGCCGCGCAAATGTTTGGCATACCGCGCACACAAATACCTTCAGGCATTACGCATACGCACTGCATGCCAAGCCAAAAAGGTTTTTAATTTTTATTTCTGAGCGCATTACCGGGAACAGCACTTTTAAATTATTGAGTGTGAAGCATTTAACATTTCAGAACGGACTGCGTTGGCAGGTACAATGGTTATTAAATGAATGAAAACTCAAAAATCCAGGAGACCTTGTTTCCTACCCTAGGATCACCGAAATATACTGTATACGTAGTAAGTTATTTAAAAAATGTTTGCAGCTTCTCACATACATTTTTATCAAGCAGAAGAGCCAGCTAACATTTCTGTGAAATATTTTATTGAATTCTTTTTTCTGGCATTTTGAATATATTTTCTTTTTATTTTCCTCGAGTTTTGGCCACTGTTCTGGTGGCGATGCCCCTTCGCCTGTTTGCTCAGCACACAGTTTAAAAATAATTGTTATTGGGCCAGGTCCAACGCCTCTTGAGTCCACCTCCGTAACGAGACCGTGCCCCGCGTATCCTGCTGCAAATTCCAGCTCCTCCGGCTGCTTCTCCTGCAGCCATTGCCGGTGCTAAATGTCGCACGCACATAAGCGAAATTATGTGAGGCATTTTTAACGACTGATATGCGCCGGGCGCGATATGGCAAACACACTGCACAGGCTGTGGGCCCATAAAAAAATCCGACGGCGAAATTGAAACTGCCGCCCAAGTTGCCCATTTTACATGCCAGCCAACCAATTTTTGGCCCACAGACGGTAAACGCGACAAACGCATGGCCGATGTACGTGAGATTGGGCGGCCGTTAATTGGTAAAAATTGGGAAAAAGCCCCATGTCTCCCCGCAGCCCAAGTGCTTATGCGATAAAGCGTAAATTTTAATGAAAACTGAAAATACGAAAAACAAAAACACACACACTTTTTTTTCGGGTCGTAAACTCAGGCGAAGCAAAGGCGATGAACTTTGGTCCTCTGTGAAATCGACTGGAAGTTGATTTAATGAAGATTTCACAAAATAGGCCTTCAGCCATCACTGTCTGACATTTTGTAGACAAGTGTATATGGTATATTATTATTATTGAGATTTAGATATTGAAGTATATGTGTTTGGCACGTGTCCTTTCTGGCAGATCATGTGGCTGGAATTTCAATTCGGGGTCTTTATGAACACACATTTTGAAGGAACCACTAAACTGTGAGTTATGGAGGAATAAATTAGATAAGCCAAACTGGTGAACAAAATAATAATGATACGAAATAGTTTTCAGGATTTTACACTGTCAATTAAGTCAGTATTATAAGCAATAAAGTGAAATCTAAGCATGCAGTTTCCATTTAAGATAAATCAGATAAATATTGAGACTTTCCTATAACTACATTTCAGTTTCCGCAACAAGGATGCCAGCAATCGGATTTATGCAGAAAGTGGTTAGCCACTTACAAGGCACCATATCATGCTGGCCCCAATCATAAATCGCTGTCCAAGCCCAAAGACCAACACTCATTTCCATATCGAACAATGCAGATGCAGTGGCAAATGTGCAACACAATGGTTTGTTACAACATGACCACACACAAGCCTTTTCGCGCCAAGAAATGCCAAAGCAAACACCCCGGGCCGTGTGCCTAATTATGTAACAATATGCCCACAAAAGATGACTCTCTCTCTCGCCTTTGTCCTTTTTTAGGCAAATTAAGCACAACAGCTTGGCCAAAATACGAAACAAAAAAAAATGCACAAGAAATTATGAACAACAAGCGAACGCAACACGATAGCGAAATTATGAACGTGATTAATTCATAGATGGTGGCGCCTGTGGCCATTGTTTTTGGCCACCACTGCAGTTCGCTAGCTTGAAACGGGCATATCGGGGATATAGAAGCACGATCCACGACAATAGCCAGATGTGGCCTGCAGTTGACATCCACGAACGTAGTGGCCAAAAAGCTAAATATGATTATGTGCGCTCGATTTAATCTCAGTCGATTTAGCGCTGGCCAACTTGCCTCCTTCTCTTTATATTATTGATTTTCTGCCAAGAGTGTGCTCGAGTGTGTGTGTGTATGTGCAACATATGCGAGTCAGGCACATTAAAAATGAAGAGATTTTCCTTGAAAATGATGTCTGCGTATGGTTTTGGTCACAACGACTTTGTGTTCAAAATTGAAAAACCAAAATCGTAAAAAAATTGCACCAAGAGCGTGAGTAAGTCCCCCGCCCACTTCTTACTTGCCACCACGCACACACAAAATCAATAGGAAAATCAAAAATAATAAAAGAAAAACTACCACTCCAAGTAGTTGGCGGATTATAGTCGTCAGTTCAGTGGCTTTAGTCTGATAAAGAGACGGAAAAAACGTAGAAAAAATTGGCTACTTAATTTGGTAATAACAATAATTACGCCTGACTGACTAAACGCTGACCAGCGGCCAATTTAATATTGAAAAGACAGGAGCCAAGTGCCTGTCCATTGAATTCCCTAACGAATTCGTGGGTATTACCAACTGGTAATGATCATTGCTAAGGAGAATGAGCCAAAGACAGTGAAAAGCCAATTACACAAACTTTATAATTGGATAAAACTCAGAAACTCGGAGGAAACGGAAGTTTTACAGGATTTTTTGTATGGGCTTATACCGATAGATCAGGAAGTAATTAAGGGAATTTAAAATATTTTCAGAAAAATGAATATTATTTTAAAATTGAATAATAATCGCTCTTATTTATAGTATCAACTTTTACTTTTTAGAAAAATAGGATGCGCTGTCATAAAATATTCCCCATCGATAGAGCATCAAATTTTCGCTATATCAATTAGGTTTTCTTGCAGTTTTCAATTAAAACGTTTATAGATAATCAATTAATAATTTTCAAGCCACTTTTCGACTAACTGGTGGCTACTTTACGGCTGACTCAGACACAGACTCAGCCGCTCCACGCTCAATTAGGTGCAAAGACATCTCGGCTGGCTGAGCTCGAAGCAGAAGTTGAGGATTTTCGCAGTTGATCATATTTATTGGCTTTGCGATTAGGCTCGGCGGACTTGATCCGGCGTCTTGCCTCTGGCCTAATTGGGGGATCTAAACTTGAATATTGATGACGGTGTCGGATCGGATCGAAAAATATAAAAAAAAAAAACAACAAAAAACAACACACAATCCAAAATGCGATGCAATTGTTGGCTGCTGGCCGTGTTGTTTGATATTTATCGTACTTAATTTTTCGATGTGTTTTGCTGTCTTGGCTATTTTTGGAGAATTTCACGTACGAGACTCATAATTCGTGCGATAATTTACACAAAATTAGGCAACTGTCTAGCCATCGAACCTTTTAAAGCTATTGGAGCACTCCGATGCGTTTCCCACGCCAATTAGAATTAGTCGCCGGATCGAGACCGAGTTCAATTGAATTTTGAGGCGACATCGAGGTCTGTCAGATAATTGCAAGAGAAAATTGGAAAATTCAATTTAGTCGCTCGGCCAAATTGTCCGAAAATTTAACATCACCTTTTATTTCACTCTGTATCGCCTCTTTTATGACACAGCGCGGCTTTCCGCTTATAATTTGTGTTAACAAAACTTTTGCCATAAAATGTCCAAAGTGAAACTCATAAAACGCAAAATTGTCGGTGCGGTCAGATATAATTAATGTGGGGCAAGTTTATTCTTCTCGTGGTTAATCTTCGCCTCTAATCTCGGGCCGTAGAAGTTTGCGACCGCCTGCCCCCACAAACTCCTCCCAAAGCAATTAAAAGTCTAATTAGAATGTCATTAGATGGCTGCAAGTGCTAAATGGTCAGGTAGTAGTCAAGTATCACAATAAATCAAAATGTTCCATCTTGATTTGAAAATATCTAAATAATTGGTCAATTAAATGGAATTACAAGCAAAAGAGGTATATAAACATTATCATGTTTACTGACTTCCCATGATTTTTCTATCAAATTCTTGAAAATTCCCCTTTGGCAGCTCTTTTGGAACATTTTCGGAAAGTTTAAATTTAAGGTTCACCAGGATGACGACGCATTTTTACTATCCAAATAAGGAGCTGCAGGAGGAGCTGATCTGCATATCGAAGTCATTGGTGGCACCTGGAAAAGGAATCTTGGCGGCCGATGAATCCAGTGCAGTAATGGGCAAGCGCTTTCAATTAATCGGAGTAGAGAACACGGAGGAGAATCGCCGAATATATCGGCAAATGCTCTTCACCACAGATCCAAAGATATCGGAAAATATATCTGGAGTGATATTCTACCATGAAACGTTGCACCAGCGCACGGATGATGGACAGCCATTTGTAGAGACCCTCAAGAAAAAGGGCATCCTGACTGGTATCAAGGTGGACAAACACTTTTCGCCACTCTTTGGCTCCGAGGATGAGTTCACCACCCAGGGACTGGATGATCTGGCCAGTCGGTGTGCCCAGTACAAGAAGGAGGGTTGCAGCTTTGCCAAGTGGCGGTGTATCCTGAAGGTCACCAAGAATACGCCTTCGCCGCAGGCTATTTTGGAAAATGCAAATGTCATGGCCCGATATGCGGCCATCTGTCAATCACAGCGTCTGGTACCGATTATCAATCCCGAGGTTTTGTCTACGGGCGACCATGACTTGGATCGATGTCAGAAGGTCAACGAAATCCTGCTGGCTGGTGTCTACAAGGCTCTTAGTGATCACCACGTCTTCCTCGAGGGAACCCTCCTGCAGCCTAGTATGGTAACGCCTGGCCTGCAGAGTAACAAGAACCATCCGCCTTCGGACATCGGATTGGCCACAGTTCTTTCCATCAGGCGAACTGTTCCCCCAGCCGTTATGGGTAGGGATTTCTATATACCTTAATTGATTTTTTCCGTTTTAATAATTATACTTATGACAGGAGTACTATTTTGTAGTGGAGCCCAATCAGAGGAAGAGGCGTCGATAAATTTGAATGCCATCAACAACGTACCGCTCTGCAAGCCCTGGGCCATGACTTTCGCCTTCGATCGGGCTTTACAGACCTCTATCTTGAGAACTTGGGGTGGCAAGAAGGAGCAGATCAGCCATGCTCAGAATGAGCTTATCAAACGTTGCAAGGTTTGTAAATTATTTGTTCTTTAAACAGATTTTTTATCAAAAATAATATTTAGGCTAATGGACTGGCCAGCATTGGAAAGTATGTAATTGGTTCCGTAGAAAGCTCAGCAGGCACAGAAAGACTTATCCAGGAAGCAGTCGAATTCTAAAGATCATCGATCATCCTTGGGAGTGGTTAGGATATAAAACTCTTGGCACGAGGAAAAAACACCTTTGGACCAAATATGTTAAAAATAAAATTTTCTGATTAAATTTAAAGATATTGATAATTTATTGACCGATTTTTTAAGAGGATATCCCTTTACCTATTTATTGTCAATATTATTATACCAATTTGTTTTTAAATCAATAAATATATATTATATATCTGAGTGTTTTCCTTGCTTAACCGTGTTTAACTGTTCCTTGGTGACTTCTGGCCAACACTTGACCGCAGGCCGCGTGTTTGATGCCAACCAGTCGGGCCGAACAAGTCGAAATATTGTTAACAAGCCTGCAAAGAGCAACATGACTCTTGGAGCGAAGTGTCGGCTTAATCCGCGGAGATTACCAGACGACCGCGCGACACGCAGCTGCGTTCAGAGCTCCAGCTCCGCTGCAGCTTAATTAACGCAGGCGCATGCCAAAAACCAAAACGACGGCCATGTGCAACAGCAACATCAACAGCGGCAACACTAACAGCGGCAACACCAACAGCAGCAACCCCGGGTTGAGTGTTTCGACTTAATCAGGCGGTTCAGAGCCGCTCAAGTCGGTGTCATGTTGTTGGCAAATTAGTCAGGCTGCCAACAGGAATCAGGGAAGGTGCAAAGGGTGTCTTGCACACAAATCGCAATAATTAAAATTAAAGCAGTCACTAACTTATAGCCTCGCCTCTCGCTGCAACACAAACTCCTCCCAGTTGTCACGCACAGAATTTTTAAACAGCCAAGCGGCTATAACTTACGTCAAGAGAAAGGACTTTAGTGTACCCAAGAAAACTCAAAATTTATTTGAAGAATAATAATATATTTAAAGTTCAGTTTCATATGTCATTTTTGTACATTTATTAACGTAAGTTGAAGTAATTTTTATTAAAGATTTGAAGGTAATATTTAAGCCCAGGGTATGTTTCCGGGAAGCTCCCCTTCAAATTGATGTCTTTTCACCTGCAACTTCGACCGGAGGATTGGAGGATTGTGGTTAATGCAATCGCCGTGTATCCCGGGTCTGTGGGTTTGAGTCCCCGTGATCCGTCACCACACCTCTCCCTTGCGCGCACTTGAATTTAATTCTCAGTCCCAATCAGGCCAACGCGTACGACATGTCATGTTAATTGGGCTCCCAGTATACATATACATATACAGTCGCGAATGTGTTCGCCGGGCGTGGATGTGTGTAAATTGCCATTATGCTCATGTTTGCTTAATATGTGGCACACACAACACCCACCGAGTTCCGCTCGATTCCAGGCTATATATCGGTGGCTATAGCTATAACCATACGACGGCAGCACGCGAGGCGTCAAGCCAATTAAAGCCAAATTATGGCAGCGCTTTTTTAATCACATGCATCGCTCTTCGCCGCTCAGTTACTCACAATCATTTACTCAGTCGCCCGCCTATTCAATCACTCATTCATTCACTCGCTCATTCACTCAATCAGCGGTTTCAATTTGCCGCTGAAGATTTATGGGCGTGCCAGGCGCTAATATGGCAGGGGAAAAAACAACTCAGAAAGTTGTGAACTTTTTTATAATAGGAATAGACTTAATCTTTGTATTGTTGATTATAAAAGGATTTAGCGTTGATACAAAACTGAAGATATGGAACTCTACAACTATTAAAAATGCAAAATATTTATTATAAAAATAAACAGAATTTTCTGATGCTTTTTTTTTGACATCTAATGGTATAAATACTTAGAACTAAAAGCTCTTCTTTATATGCAAATTTGTCCAAAAAAATGTCGAAGTTGTTTAATTTTTTTTTTTTTTTATGTGTTTATAAACATTATGGAAGTTCTACTGTAGACTTAAATACAAAACTGCCATGATCGCAACTACAAAATGTTGCTCATTGCCGGCGGCACGCGTTTGTAAGAGACTTCCACAGTCGCCAAAGATCAAAGCCAAATAGCCGACAAGCATCGAACCCGATTTCAGTTGGTCTTTAACGAGATTTCCACTTGCCAACTGTTGCCAGCTGTTGGCCATAAACGAGTATGCGAGAAGTGGGAGTGGGCCCCAGCCTTAGCCCGGGCCTTTACCAACCTGGCGGCGGCATAATTAGAAAAATCCAAGCCAAACGAAACCGACGGGGCTGTGGCGCCAAAGTTTAATTCACAACTCCGGACGGACCGGGCACAAATCACTCAGCTGTCAAACGCTTGTTTTGATTAATTTGGTGTTAATAACGTAGACCGCACAAATCCTGTACCGTTCGTTCGGCAATTAATGTGGCCTGGTCTTTGTGGTCTTTGGTCTGCTGGCCTGCTGGCCAGGCCAAAAGCAAAACCCAAAGCCAAACTTGGTCATGGAGCGTGAAAAACGAACGCTTCCACCGAGGAGGATGCGACTTGTGTTAATTGAAAGTTTCGGCCTGGCCATATAAAGTGGGGAAGCCAAAAGTCTGTCTCGTCCGACTTCGATTTCGATTTGGTTGTCTACTGATAGCCAAAAAGTTGCCAACTCACCCGGCCATAAATGGTGGCACACGCGTCGTCTTGGCAGATGGCAGGACGAATGGCAAGAATCGCCGGCGGGGGTGGCGGTAGTGATGATGGCGGTCCAGCTAAAAAGCCAAAAAAAAGCCACAAAAGCGGGACAGTTTCGCTTTTGGTTTCGCTTTCCATGTGTGCCACATCATCAGGCCAAAAGTAAGAGGTGTTTAAAATGCTAATTTGGGCAATGCCACCAACTGAATCACGTACAGTTGTCTCCATTTCTCACATGACTTAATGACGCCACATTTTGGCCTGGCCAAAAGTTCAGATTGCCTAGTTGAATGGCCAAAACGCCGTTGATCGGGCGTTAATTTTTGAAATTGTTAGGCCTGCAGGGAAACACAGTTCGTGGAAATACAAGAAAGGTTAAACAATTTGTGAGAAACTTAGAATTCCTTTAATTAAATTATAAATGTGAGTAGCAACCAATTCACTTTTAACATTTTAATAGAGTTTTAATAAGTCAAATGAAAGGTTATTTAACCCAATTTCATCGGAAAGCAATTAAGATGTTGTAATATCAATTACAACCTTAAAACTCCAAATTTATAGTCGTCTGCAAACTATAAGAGGAATTTATACTTCTTTTTCGAAAGAAACTCTATTTACTTTGAAATTACCGAAAATCCTTGAACAGTTAGCCAAGGATCCTTCTCCTTTCGCTTATTTAACCATGTGACCAATAGCTTTCACTACAATCATTATAATAAAGCCCGGGATCAACTTTAAAGTGACCCACTGGCATCGTCGTATGCAAATCATTTAGTCTTGTCCTCCATGACCAGCTCCCTTCCTGCTCGAGGCTGTCGCCCATCAACGCGCTTGTTCAGCTGTCACCATATGCAGCTTCCTGGCCAGGACAGGCCGAAACGCTACTGACGTCGCCGCCCCCGGGTACTGAATCGAAATTTGCTATGCCAAAATGTCAAAATGTCAATTCGAAAACGTTTAGCAGAAAAAAAGAAGAAAACAAGAGGAAACGCTATAGTCGAGTGCCGCGACTATAAGATACCCGTTACTGTTTTACACAACTTTAAAATATTAATTTTGCTAGTGGAAATTCACAAGGCGCCACCTATTGTCAGAGGAAGTATGTTGAGTATGCTTATAGTGACGTCACTGCCCATGTGGAGCCTTATAACCTTAATTTCTTCATAAATTGCGAAATAATGTTCCGATTTGAAAAATCTTTTGTAAATCGATAGATATTAACAGAAATAAGTTACACAAGGTCAAACGAAGGCATTCATAATAATATTATAGACTCCACAGTTTTCCGCGGTTTGTGGGCGTTAGAGTGGGCGTGGCCGGATGCAACTTCGTGGCAAGTTGCAGAGGCATCTCCTAAATACGTGTTCCTAAGCAAAATTATGTAGCTTTTATAGTTTTCGAGATTTTTGCATTTTTGGTTTTTCGGGTTTTGTGGGCGTTAGAGTGGGCGTGGCGTGATCGGAAAAAACAATTCGCATTGGGAGCATCATAGAAACATACATGCTTGATCCGAACTTTCTATCTCTTATAGTTACCGAGATATCAGCTTTTCTAGAAAATCCGAAAACCGTCTTTTGAGCCTTGTGGGCGTATGGGTGGGTGTGGCCGGATAGTAGTAGCACTATAAAATGCGCTGTCATCTAAAGATTATACTTTCTGAATTTCAACTTTCTATCTACAATAGTTCCTGAGATTTCAGCAATTTTAGTTTTTTGCGATTTGTGGGCGTTAGAGTGGGCGTGGCAGGATGCTGTAATAAACTTGCGCTGTCCCGGGACCTCAAGAATCTTCATGGTTAATCTCAACTTTGTATCTGTTGTAGTTCCTGAGATCTCAGCGTTCATACGGACGGACGGACGGACGGACGGACGGACGGACGGACGGACGGACGGACGGACGGACGGACGGACAGACGGACATGGCTCAATCGACTTCGCTATTGATCCTGATCAAGAATATATATACTTTATAGGGTCGCAAAAGCTTCCTTCTATCTGTTACATACTTTTCAACGAATCTAGTATACCCTTTTACTCTACGAGTAACGGGTATAAAAAGTGAATTAAGAGGGAAACGCAGCGGCGCTGCCAAATGTTGGCTAAGTAAACTTTTTGGCTATTGAATGGACGGTCAGCTCGCCAGCTTTGATATATACGTATATATATATATATATTATACATATATATATATATACGGAGGCGTGTCGTTGGCAGTCGCTCAAGAGTTGGTCAGGTGTAGGCTCGTTTGTCTGTCACTCGTTACATTTGCTTACCTTTCCTTTATGCAAATGCGGGTGAATTTTCGCTTCTGACTCCGGCTTGTATTGCATAAAGTTAAAGCTAGGTTAGTGAGTTGCCTTTTTTCTTCATTGAGGTCTTATATATTTTTTTCGTGGGGTTCTGTCAATGCCCCACAAGATGGCTCACAACTTGTGTCGTCTGCCTGACAATCGTACGACATTTCTGACAAATACTGCCGACACAAAACTCTTTTTTTTCCTTACGCTGACGGACAGGCTCTCAGACTTGCATAGGCAAAGCATGTTGACAGGCCAACAGTCCAAAAATAAAAATAATACTTAAAAAACAAAGAGTAAAT